CTTAGTGTGCATACTATGCCTTTCATAATTTGCCCACCTACCTTTAAAAACTCATTTCTTCCCACCAAAATTAGCTCCTACTCTGCAACCTAGCCAAACTCAACTACTTTTCACTTCCTTATCCATGACACTCATCTAATTTGCATTTGTTCTATCTGCCTGGAATGTCTTCCCTACCATTCTCCACTTGATTATCTGCTTAGCACAGTAGGTGATCAATAAATATTACCTACTATAATCATCATCCTTTAAAATTTAGCATAAAAGTCACCTCTTCTAGCCCAGCTGGGTGGCTCAGTTGGTTGGAGCGTCATCCGTACACCAAAAAGGTTGTGGGCTCCATTCCCGGTCAGCGCACATACCTAGGTTGAGGATTCCATCCCCGATCAGGATGCATACAGGAGGCAAGCGATTGATGTGTTCTCTCTCTCTCTCTCTCAAATCAATAAACATATCCTCGGGTGAGGATTAAAAAAAGATCACCTCCTCTAGGAATACTTTCCAGTTTTCCATACCAGTAGAAAACTTGAAAAACATGCAAAAGATGAAAATGAAGATTATCCTAACCTTTTATCTCAGAAATAACCACTATTATCACATTCATGCATTTCCTTCCAAATTTTTATATATACAGTGGGGCCTTGACTTACGAGTGTCCCGACTAACGAGTTTTTCGAGATACGAGCCGTCTCTCGGCCGATTTTTTGCTTTGAGTTGCGAGCTAAAATTCAGGTTACGAGCCAGCTTCAGATACCCCACCGCTAGTTGGCACAGTGAACGTCACAGTGAATGCCACAACATCAGCCCAGCATCACGTGTCTCACTCGTTCACTTTAAGATTTGACATACGAGTAATTTGAGTTACGAGCTCTGTCACGGAACGAATTAAACTCGTAAGTCAAGGCCCCACTGTACATATATTTTTTAAAGCATAACTGAGAAAGCAAGTTTTGTGTTCTGCTTTTCTCACTCAACATTGCAAGCATTTTTGTCATTAGTTTTTTTAAATTTATTTTTTATTTCAGAGAGGGAGAGTGAGAGAGAAACATCAATGATAAGAGAGAATCATTGATCAGCTGCATCTTGCACGCCCCCTACTGGGGAATCAAGCCCGCAATCTGGGTATGTGCCCTGACTAGGAATGGAACCATGACCTCCTGGTCCATAGGTTAATGCTCAACCACTAAGCCACAATGGCCAGGCCATTAGTTAGTTTGTTTTATAAAGAGCTTTTAATCCTTACATAATAATCCATCACACAGATGGCACAATAACTAAACATTCCCTTTACATTAACCATTCAGGTTATTTCTCATTAATATAACATTATCATAAACATCAGTGTCTACATCTCTGATTAAAATAGATTATCATCCTATCACCATGTGCTAATAAGCACTCACATGCATTTTTATTTAATGCTCACAATAACCTTCTAAGGAGGGTACAATTATTATACATAAGGGAAAGCAGAGGCTGAGTAACTTACCCTAAGTCACATTGCTATTAAGCAGTGGGGCCGATATTCAAATTCAAGCCTACTGGACTATACCCTAAAGTCTGATCATTTAACAATTTTTAAGTCTCTCAATGCTGCCAAAGAGCTTTCCAGAAATGTCTTACAATTTTATACTGCCAACAGCAATATGCGAGAGCACCTGCCTCACTAGCATTGAATATTCCATTTTCAAAAATTGAGCTCAGCCCAGCCGGCATGGTTCAGTGGTTGAGCGTCAATTTATGAACCAGGAGGTCACAGTTCAAATCCCGGTCAGGGCATATGCCCAAATTGCAGGCTGGATCCCCAGTGGAGGGGCATGCAGAAAGTAGCCAATCAATGATTATCTCTCATCATTGATGTTTTTTTAAAATATATATTTTATTGATTTTTTACAGAGAGTTAGAAACATCAATGAGAGAGAAACATCGATCAGCTGCCTCCTGCACACTCCCTACTGGGTATGTACCCGCAACCAAGGGACGTGCCCTCGAACCTGGGACCCTTGAGTCCGCAGGCTGAAGCTCTATCCACTGAGCCAAATTGGTCAGGGCATCATTGATGTTTTTATCTCTCCCTCTCCCTTCCTCTCTGAAATCCATAAAAAAAAATTTTTTTTAATTTAGCTCATCTAATAGGTGAAAAAAATGGTACCTCTTTGTTTCAATTTGCATTTTTTCAATTAGCATCTTCTGGGTTTTTCTTATTGCCTCACATAAGCTCCTGATATCTTAAGCCAGCCATCACCTGGCCAAGAAGCCTTTCTGAAGACTCCTGCTTGCTTATCATTTGTTATAATCATTATTGAGCTGAGCATCTGTGAGCCTACCAACACAACTATATTACCAGAATTCTGACTGATTGGGTTTAGGTGTTTTCTGGAGACAATAATGGATAACTGACATAAGGGCATTTCCTCTAATTTCCAAAGCAATAAGGAGATCTCAAGGGAGAAAGTACATTATTTAACCTAACCGAGATGGAACAAAAATGGGAGGTTCATCTTCTACCACTTCCCTTGGTGAAATATACAGGTACTAGTTTAATAGTTTAGCAAACTTTCCCTGTTCTTTCATTCCTCCATGATATTGAACATTCCGTTCTCTCTGCCTAGAATGCCCATTTTTTCATCTGTCTTTCTGGTTGTCCCTCCCTTCACCTACCCCCTCCAATTGCTCTGTACCTTTTATCTGGCAGACTTACAGCCAAACTACTTGAGTGCTAAATATTGCTGGAGAAAAGCCCCTACAATCATGTAGATTTTTAATTAAGACCTCAGTATGCTAGTCATTTCTCTCAAATACTCTCAGCTCCCTCTTCTATTTTGCTTAATGAGTTATATGGGATCATCATTTTGCTACTTAATTCCTTCAATGTCCTCTCACTTAGGATAAAGTAAAAACTCTTAAGTGTGGAATATGGCACACAGGCCCTCTATGATTTGACTCCTATGTACCTCTCTACATATAACCAGTCATTTACCAACATGCACACTTAAAACACACCGCAACAACTTGTTTTATAACCTTACTAGAGGCCCAGTGCATGAAATTCGTGCACGGGGGCGGGCTCCCTCAGCCCAGCCTATACCCTCTCCAATCGGGGACCCCTTGGGGGATTGTCCAACTGCCTGTTTAGGCCCCATCCCACAGGACATCCCTCCCGCAATCTGGGACCGCTGGCTCCTAACCACTCACCTGCCTGCCTGCCTGATCACCCCTAACCACTCTGCCTGCCTGCCTGATTGCCCCTAACCCCTCTGCCTGCCTGCCTGATCACCTCTAACCTCTCTGCCTGCCTGCCTGCTTGATTGCCCCTAACCACCTCTGCCTGCCTGCCTGATTGCCCCTAAGTGCTCCCCTGCCAGCCTTATTGCCCCCAACCGCTCTCACCTGCCTGCCTGATCGCCCCCAACTGCCCTCCCCTGCCAGCCTGGTAACCCCCAACTGCCCTCCCCTGCTGGCCTGATCACCCCTAACTGCCTCTGCCTCGGCCCCCACCACCATGGCTTTGTCCGGAAGGAAGTCGGATGTCTGGAAGATGGCCAGTCTACCCAGTCTAATTAGCATATTACCCTTTTATTAGTATAGATAATGTAATTTCAGGCCTCTGTGCCTTGACAAATTACCGTTCTTTCTGCCTAGCAAACTCCATTGATCCTTTGGAATTCAGCTTAAGAAAACTCTTTTCCAGAAAGCTTCTTCTAATCCTACTCTGATTTAGATACCCTTTTTTCTATGTTTCTTTGGCAATCTGAATGCATCTAGCATATTTAAGTTCCATAATTTTTCTTTTGTTTTGCCAACTAAACTATAACCAAATTGGGGGCAGGGACCATATCTAATGTGATTTTGTATTTGCAGCATCTACCAGTGCCAACACACATTAAGTGCTCAATCAATATTTTCTTAACAAGTGAGTCATTCAAAACAGAAATTTATTGCCCAGCCAGCATGGCTTAGTGTCAACCTATGAACCAGAAGGTCACAGTTTGATTCCTGGTCAGGGCACATGCCCAGGTTGCGGGCTCAATCCCCAGTGCAGAAGGCAGCAGATCAATGACTGTCTCATCACTGATTTTTCTATTCTCTCCCTCTCCCTTCCTCTCTGAAAAAAAAAAGATATTAAAAAAAAAAAGAAGCCTTCCCTAACCCTTAGGTGAAGGTGCTACTTCCTCTCCTCTAGTGCACTTGCTGCATTTTAACGTCTTTCCCTTCAACTGGATTGTGAATTACATGAGGACAGTGAATATTAATAGATTAAGTAGCTAGCACAGAACCTGGTATATATTATTCAATCAGTTCATATACTGAGCTCACCATGATCTATGAGTCACACATTTCCCTAAGCTACACCTAAGGGCCTGGGGCATAGGTAAGTTTTCACATCTCATGGAAAGCAGTGATGACTCAAAGTCCAAAGTAATATCCACTTGATTTTTATTCTCATCTCATTTTTCTGTACTTTCCAAAGTTTAAAAAAATAAATGTGCATTGCTTTTCCATCATTAAAAGTTATTAACAAACTTTACAGAATACATACACTAAAATATCAATAAAAACATTATTTAAAAATAAACATGTGTGCCTGCTTTAAAAAAAGCAGAGTAAGCCCTGGCCAGTAGCTCAGTGGTTAGAGCGTTGGCCCATGGATCAAAGGGTCTCGGGTTGGATTCCTGGTCAAGGGCACGTATCTCAGTTGTAGGTTTGATCCCTAGCCCAGGTGAGAGACATGCAGGAAGCAACCAATCGATGTGTCTCTCTCACATCAATGTTTCTCTCTTTCATTCCCTCCTCCTTCCCTTCCACTCTCTCTAAAAATCAATGAAAAAAATATCCTCAAGTGAGGATTAACAAACAAAAACAAAATAAGATACCTGACTGATTCTGCTTACTATCACTGCTCAAGACTTCATGCACTTAAATTTTAATAATGCTAACTAATTAATGTTAGATGAGACAGACTGATGGAGAAAGAGAGAAAAACAAGGAGACATACCCACCATTGTACTTAACACTGTTAGCAAGGATAAGGTTGACATCATCTAGAAAGCTCTCTCGACTCTGATACTTGTGCTTGGAGATATTCTGTGATTAAAAGAATCAGGCACTTAGATACACAAAGTTAATTGATTCCAAAAACACGTATTAGAACAAGTCACTCACCTTACGTATAGTCTCTAAATCCATTGGACTGACAATCACTTCATAATAATCTGGAACAAACTTCTTATTAACTGGGTGATGAAATGGCCAAGACTAGCAAAAAGAAAGCATGAGAAATTAAATAAAAACCACTGTTTATACTAAAGATTCTCAACCTCCATTGGGACACAGATATTCCTGAGACTCTGACCAAAACTAATGACCCTTTTCCCAGAAAGACAAATAACCACACAAAACTCTGTATGTAACTTAAGGTGTTCTTGTATTCCTTTAAGGGTTTCTATGCTCTGAAAGAGTAAGAACCCCTGCTCCATACTCAAAATTTCTTATTCCCTAGTCCCATCCAGAAGTTTTATTGCATTACACATATAGGAACACAAAAGGAAACTTAGATCAGAATTCCTAGGCAGGATCCTTATAACAAAATGGTGCATTGAATTAACACAGTAGCTCTGTCATAAAGTTGCAAAAGACAAAAAATGAAACAAAAGACAACAAACACTGGGTAATTATCAAACTGTCATTTTTCAAGAAGCAACTCTATTTCCAAAGCTTCCGTTGGCTGGCATATTAATTTCTCTCCAGGGCTATTCAGGAACATTCAAATACTGAATGTAAACAATAGGAAGAAACAACCTCTTTATGTCCACAGTTTACTGGCCTCTTTAATTTTAATGATAATGCACACATACAGCAAAAAAGTCAGTTTTGACATTTATATGCCAGTTTGAATTGACAAACACCACCCTCCACCAGACTCCCCGACATATATACACATGTATATCCTTTCCTTTCCCCTGTACTATCTTCACAATGTTTAGTACAGAGACCACTTACATCTGGAACTGCCATCATTTTCTGGGTGACAATATTATCCAGAATAAAAGAAAATGTCACTTGGTCATTATCATCCAACAAGGGATTGATAGCTTTCTCTAAACGAGCCAATTTGTCTTCTTTCTGACATGAAACAAAGCAAAGGTTTCCCTAGGTATGATCACCACAGAAAATTAAGGATAATTTAAAGTTCGGTTGTCTATTGCTGTTGCTGAAAAAAGTCTAAGAATTTTCGATTATTCAGTTTCAAGCAAAAAGTCAAGATAAATGACATTCCAGTAAAAGGATCAAACAGGATGTACCAACCACTCCTTTAGGTATTCTGTATTCTACTCTATTCACCAAAATATACATCCCTGGGCATCAAAACCTTAGCTTCCATAATAGAAACACCTTCACCAGGTTAGATTTTACAATCACGCTGTTTTTTGCTGTAAAGCTATTGCTGAAAACACTGAACACATTACTGTTGATTAATGACTTCTGTATAAGGAAATCTAAATGAAATTCATTTCATAGTTTACTGGGAAAAAGTTTATGTACCAATTGTTCCACATCCTCACTAACACTTAGTATTATCAATCTTTTTTTTAAGTCTTTTTAAAATTTTAGCCTTTCTGGTGGGTATGTAGTGGTATCTAATCATGGTTTAAATTTGCACTTCCCCAATAATCAATCAAGTTGAGAATCTTTTCTTGTTTATTGGCCATTTGATTATCCTTTTATGAAGTATCTACTTCGGTGTTAACATCATTATATCATTATTGCGTTTTTGTAAGCTTGTAAGGTACCATATTTTTTTAGGTAAGAAGATAGAATATAGATAGATTACCTTTTAAAAATTAAAATTCCTCCCTGCCAAAATACAGCCTCTTAACTCCAGATGACTTCCTGGAAAATCACTTTCCTTGGCCCTTTCTAAAGAGACATGTGGGTTATAGATTTTAATCCTAGCTCTACTATTTAAAAGTCATGATGCCCAGGACAAGTCATTTTCTTCTATGAACCTCAGTTTTTCCATCTACAAAAGGAATTGAACTACATAATTTCTAAGTTCCCTTCCAAACTCTAACATACTAAAGATCTGCTACTCCTACATGTCTTTACTCTTTCTTCTGTTGCATTCCCTACTTCCTCAACCTTGCTACCCACCACCTTCTAATTCCACTGCCTTTCTCTCATTTTAAATGTCTTACCTCTCTGAGTTTTTCATCACAGAAATCCAGCTTGGATTGAGAGATCTGGGTCAATGAGTGCTTTGGCCCTAAATTGTAGAGCAACAAGAAATGAAACTGTTAAAAATGGGGGAGGCAAGCCCAGCCAGTGTGCCTCAATGGTTGAGCCTCGACCTATGAACCAGAGGTCACGGTTTGATTCCCGGTCAGGACACGTGCCCAGGGTTGCAGGGGTTGCAGGCTCGATCCCCAGTAGGGGTTGTGCAGCAGACAGCCGATCAATGATTCTCTCTCTTCATTGATGTTTCTATCTCTCTCTCCCTATCCCTTCTCTGAAAATCAATAAAAATTTATTTTTTAAATGGGAGGCAAGAGCTGCCAACACTTCTCCAGATGTTTGCCACATTTACTTAAGCACCAAATATGTGGCAGGCACCAGACTAGCTGCTGGGCTACACACATAAACCAGTCTTATCTTCATTTTTAGTGCCTAACAAATAGTAGACACACAACAAATGAACAAACTAATTTTAACTCTCTTCCTTATTTGTGTATACCCACACATAGTAGTACAACTATTGATACTGCTGTCTTTAATGCTTTGAAAATGATACTAAGGATGGAGAACGACAATATGTTTAAGGATGGCTGAGGAGATCAATACAGGATTTAAAATCTTCCCATACTTAGCATATAGAATTTGCCACTGTAATTTTTGTTTGCAGAACTCATGGTTTGTGATGTCCTCCCAACATATGGCTAATCCAAACAAAGCCTTTCTCATAAAAGAATCTCTATCTCATCTCAGAATATTGCTTTAGTTTCCCTGATATCCATAACAAGAGCTTCAGAAACCATTTCCTACACTCCCTGCTTATGGATACCCTAATTTAAGCTCACAAGGATAGTTAAAAACATTTTCATCTAGACTAATAATTCTGACTACTTCCTTTCAGTACTTATTTTCTTATCTTTCCCTGTCTATTCTTTTGTGTAAGTGTTCCCCAGAGCCTAAACCTCAGCTCTTTTCTAATTAATTTAGCATTCATTCATTTATTCATTCAACAAATGTTTAATGACATGTTCAATAAGAATAATGGGATCTATTTCAGTACTCCTTATAATTACGGTGACTATTCATAACATGATCATTGCTTAGTCATTAGAGGATAACATTTGTTAGTGGAGATCGGAAAAATTTATTTGTGAGATTCTGCAGAGTTCATTTTTCTATTCCCAATATTTGCTGAAGTTAAATAAAAATTTTCAAGCCCCCCCCCGCCCCAAAAAATAATAATGGGAAAATAAGACACCATTGCCCCATATTTATTTTTTTTAAAAATATATTTTATTGATTTTTTACAGAGAGGAAGGGAGATAGAGAGTTAGAAACATCGATGAGAGAGAGACATCGATCAGCTGCCTCCTGCACATCTCCTACTGGGGATGTGCCCGCAACCCAGGTACATGCCCTTGACCGGAATCGAACCTGGGACCCTTCAGTCCGCAGGCCGACGCTCTATCCACTGAGCCAAACCGGTTTTGGCATGCCCCATATTTAGATGACAAAACTAAGGAGGCTATGAGCAGTTAAGATAATTTATCTAAGGTGACTCAATTTGTTAAGAGTCAGAGCCATGACTCATATGTTACCTGTACTCTTAACCCGTATATGAATCTGTGCTCAAGGACACAATAGAAACCAAAAAAGTTTATCCTTTACATACAGAAGCTGTATTGTTTTTCCCCCTTTAAAAAGACTCAGAAAGATTTCTTCCTCCTTGCCTTTCCAGCTTTTAAGCAAAGTGGACATATAACATCCCCTGTAATAGATCTGTAGACCAAATCAAAGATTCACACACAGCAAATATGTCACATGCACATACTCTGCACAGGTTCCATCCACACTGAATGCTTCTCCCTTCTTTTTACCTAGGCCCACTTCTTAAACTCCTAGTACTCCCCATGTAATAGTTTCATTTCAGCAGACTCCAAATTCTCCAGAGGATACATTAAAAAGTGGTAATAAAAAGAAGCAATATACAGTTGACCCTTGAACAATGCAGAGGTTAAGGGCACTGACGACTCATACAGTAGAAAATTCATGTGTAATTTAAGTTGGCTCTCTGCATATTCAGATTCCCACTACCAGTTGACCACTGAACAATGTGGGTTTGAACTGTGAAGGTCAATTCAAAAATCATATATAGCCCTGGCTGGTTTTGCTCAGTGGATAGAGCGTTCGCCTGTGGACCAAAGGGTCCCTGCCAGGTTCAATTCCAGTCAAGGGCACATGCCTGGGTTGCAGGCTCGATCCAACATGCAGGAGGCAGCCAATCAATGATTCCCTCTCATCATTGATGTTTCTCTCTCTCCCCCTACCTTCTTCTCTGAAATCAATAAAAAAATATATATATTTTAAATCATATATAAATGGACCCACACAATTGAAACGCAGGTTGTTCAAGGGTGAAGTATATATTAAATGACTAAAATGTGTACTATCGGATTTTCAAAACTGCAAAATGCACTAATACATTTTAGGACCTTTTCATCAGTCCTATATAGTCTGAGCTTATGAGGATCTGAAAGGTGACCTCTTCAATCAAAGAATAGATGATTCTTACCATTGTCGCTTGTACTATTTTTCACAATGAGCTCCAAATGCTCTCTGAAGCCTTCCCGAGATGGCTAGAGGCATTTACACACATTTTCACAAAGTGTCTGTAAGTCCATTGGTCGAGTAATAATTTTGTAGTAGTCCTTTACAACCTTCCCATTGACTGGAGTGTGGAAAGGGTAAGTCTGTGCAAACAAGAGCCAGCACCACCCATAAGCAAAGAACACTTGCCAGAGCCAATTCCTGAAGATTCTTTCACATCTTACCTCTCTACCTGTTCATCAACTCTCAAAGGATGTTTTCTAGATGGAGCAGGTCTGACTGTTTCGTCTACTCAATTGTTTTATAAAAAAATGAAAGAAGCAAAAAACTATAACCTATCCTCGGCCAGTGTGGCTCAGTTGGTTGGGTGCCGTCCTATGCACCAAAAGCTTGCCGGTTTGATTCCTGGTGTCAGGGCATATGACCAGGTTGCAGGCTGGATCCCTGGTACAGGGCGTTTAGGAGGCAGCTGATTAATGTTTCTCTCTCTCTCTCTCTCCAAATATCAATAAAAAATATTTTTAGCCCTGGCCAGGTAGCTCAGTTGATTAGAGCATTGTCCCATACACCAAAAAGGTTGAGGGTTCGATTCCTGATCAACAGCTGCAGGTTCAATCCCTGGCCCCAGTTGGCAGCATGTGCAGGAGGCAACCAAGCAATGTGCCTCTCTCACATTGATGTTTCACGTTCTCTCTCTCTCTCTCTCTCTCACCACCCTTCCTCTCTCTCAAAACAAACAAACAAAATCAATGGAAAAAATATCTTCAGGTGAGGATTAACAACAACAACAAGACAGAGAAGAAAAAATAATTTAAAAAATAACACTATACCCCAAAGAATTAGGAATTCCACGTACTTAGGACTATACTGTCCTCCATCTAAAATCATGGACAGAACAAAAAGCCTTTTCGTCTCTACTGTAGGTATGAATGCAATGAACTCACATTTGGAAGATCTCTCATGTCGTTGATGATAGACTCCAAGATGGATGACAGTGTCACCATGGGGTCTGTCCGGCGCCGGTGGATGGACTTATGAGGTCTCTAAGGAAAAACAAGGAATCAGAATGCTTCTATAGATTAAAAAATAATACTTTCTAGCTAGACAAATATGTTTTGGAAGTCTTATAATGAACAATACACATTAATTTTCAGGGCAAGGACAAAGGGATTCAGAATCTATGTCAGGACCATGGCTTAGAGGGCTACGGGAATCAATGAGAAGCTCATCTGGTCAGAAAAAAGCAATGCAAATACTCACATTCAAATAGTCACAGTGAACAGTGGTTCCGACTCGCCGTTTCTTCTTAGGAGGGAGTTGCTGTTTAGGGAACTTGAGAACCAGAGATTTTCTTCGAACCTCATCTGCACTGCAATTAATAACACTTTCATAGCATGCAGTCCCTATTTATAGTCCCCAGGGATAAAAGCAACTACAGTGAAACAGTCTAAAGTCCCTGAGAATAAGCCTGGGGAGGAAAAAGCCAAACTAAAGGCCAGACATCCACATTCAAAGGCTCAGATCAGGCAAGGCCTCATAGGATCTCCAAGTTTATAATAAAGAACTAGGCAAGCCACAATTTCACCTCAGTTTCCTATTTAGAAAATAAGGGAACTAGCCCTAGCCAGTTTAGCTCACTGGATAGAGCGTCAGCCTGTGGACCAAAGGTTTGCAGGCTTGATCCCCGGCCCCTGTCAGGGCACATGCAGGAGGCAACCAATTAATATGTCTCTCTTACATTGATGTTTCTCTCTGTCTCTCCCCCTCCTTTCCACTCTCTCTAAAAATCAATAGAAAAAATATCCTCGGGTGAGGATTAACAAAAAATAAAAAGATTTAAAAAACACAAAAAAGAATTCAAATATATTTTGAATATAATACCGACTGTACAACTTCAGTGGCATATAGTCCAAGGACAACTACAAAACACACCTGACTCTACAGGTTTGTTGTTGGTAGTAATATTGGTATTGTAATTCTCAAACTATTTTGTATGTATCTTAGGACAAAGCAAATGAATAAATATATTGATGTTGGGAACCAAAGAAAAGATACAAATATGAAATATAGGGATATGAGGAAGAATCTGTAGATACAACTTGAATCTCTATGAACTGTGCTTTACAATACATGTATACTTCCTAGTTCTGTCCACTAAGAGCCTAGTAGCAATGGCATCTAGATCTTGGTTTCTAAACAGCGTTCCCCAATAAATGGAACCAGGGCTCCTTTAGAGAAATGGCTGATTCTAGATCTGGGATAGGGAAATTTCAAGAAGATCCTAGAACATCTTGTGCCAGAAAGCAAAGAAGTTATCAAAGATTTATAGGGTCATTTCAAAAGGACACAGGATCTGGTATGAAGGGGTAAAATTTGGGACAATGATGGAAATCAAAATTAATAATAAGGTTAAGTTTACAAAGGAAAGAAACTTCAGAATCTGTAATAGTACTCAAAAAAGGAGGGGAAACTTTTCTTTATAGAATGCCATTTAATGTAGAAAGAATGCTAGAATTAGGAAAAAAAACATTGTTTTGAGACACACCCCCCCCCCCCAATTTAATAATGGATCATCAATGGATGCCAAAACTATTGAGAGAATGACTGTTACGGATCAGGATATTCGCCAACATATTCATTACAAAGGGAAAAACATACCTTTATCATAGAGAAATCTGGGGATCACCACTTTAACAAGATGACCAAAATAGTACGGAAACCTGACAATATGAGCTTCCTGATGTGGTGTATTAAGTACATAATACCACCTATGTAGTAACCTTGTCAAAGACATTTAATATGAATATAATCAATGAGAAAACAACCAGGCAAATCCAGATTGTGGGATATTTTATGAGACAATTGGCCTGGACTCTTCAAAAACAAGTCAATGTCATAAAACACAAAAAAGGTGGAGAAGGCAGTTCTAGATTAGGAAAGACTCAAAATACTTAAATGTTTGAACTGGAACTGGATCCTGAATTTGGGGATAGGCAATAAAGTACTTTGAGACAACTCAGGACATTTGTATAAGAACTGGATGCAAGATACTATTGAATTAATGTTAACTATGTCCTATGTTGTTATGTCCTATGCTAAAGAATTTATAAGTGAAATATCATGATGCCTGCAAGTTATTTCTAAACAGTTCAGCAAAAGTTTAAATATATAAAGATGAAACAAATAGGACAGTTGGTAAATTTAGAGAAATAGCATGTTGTCTTTAAATTTTCCGTAGGTTTGAAATTTTTAAACTAAAAGGTTAGGGGAAATTTTTTAATTTAAAAACTCTGCTTCTTTATTAAATTCTCTTAGGGCAAGAGACAGGTATGTGTAAGCATAGTTTATGTCTCCTTAAACTTTTTGGATGGTCCATAATTAGAACATTCTAAGATTAGGGACCTTACAAATATTGAGTGCCTGGGAAGTAGAATAAGAGCATCTACTATATGCCAGGCACTGTGCTTTATATAGTCTCTCTCATTTTTATCTCATAACTACCCTAGAAAGGGTGGTTTTATTTTGTAAATAAGAAAACTGAGACTCAGAAAAGTTAGGTACGGGAGAAACCAAGATGGCGGCATAGGTAAACACCGGAAATTGCTGCCTCACACAACCACTTCAAAAATACAACTAAAAGACAAAACAGACATCATCCAGAACCACAGGAAGGCTGGCTGAGTGGAAATTCTACAACTAGAAGGAAAGAGAAAAGCACACTGAGACTCAGAGGAGGTGCGGAAGTAAAGTGCAGAGGTACGGAGG